GCCGCGTAGCTATATTGGTTTTTTGTGTTACAAAAACAAGAGATTGCTCATGACGATATCGTGGTTGACGATCTGTACTTCTTAAATTTCATTAATGAAACTCATAAAATATGGAAAATAAGCACAGCATCCTCTACCTTGCTTTTTTCAATTTCGAATGACGATTAAAGTTTCTCTGCTAATCTGAAATTAAAAACAGTAGGATAGAGGGTGCTGTACTTATTTTCTATATTTTTGGTATATATTATTTGCAAATTTAAGGACAATCAAGTTTAAATAAGGTATTTATTTAGATTCGAATATAATATTGCTCAGGTATTTTAAGAATTTAGAGTTATGAAAAGTAGACAAGCAAATTATAATTTACTTTTAAACTAGAATTTTATAGTACGGCACTGTATTACTGTTATAACAAGTAAGACCACTGTAAATTGCTATACAAATCATAATTTTGCTATAAAAACTAATATAAATTACTTACATTTCACATTAGCCAGAATACAAAGCAGAATTTTTTATCTATGGTCAGATAAAGACAATAACTAAATTTTTTGGTATATCATTATGCAAACCACGATATATTCAATACTGCAATACGAAGCTAACATAGCACTATCTAAATCACAACAAAATAGTTGACAATGATAGTAACCGAAGTTTTTATGATATATTACTATACAAACTATGTTATATCTAATACAAAACTAACATACTATCTAAATCACCTACACCACAATAGTCAAAAAGAACAATAATTGGATTTTTTTACAGTACATCACAAACTACAGTATATCTTATCTACATCACTAATTTTCGGTAAAGATGGCATCCAAATTTTTACCATGATATATCTAACATTGTCTAAATTACATATGCATTAACAATGACCAGTAAGAACAGTGCCTGAATTTTTTACAGTATATTACTATACAAGCCATGATATATTAACAAAAGACTAACACTATTTGGATCGGGATCTGATCAACTTATCGACAATTATTTCGTTGACACCACATTTCACTAACAAGTTCATTTCACTGAAGCTTATTTTGTAGACAAAGCAATTCTGGTCAATATCATTAGGGTAAGATTAGAATTAGAGTTAAAGTTAGTGTAGTTTATAAAAATAAACTTGTCGGTAAAATGAAATAGACTGTTGGTAAAATGAACTTGTCAGTAAAATGTGGTGTCTATGAAGAGATTGTCAGTAAAATAATATGGTCACATATACCACTACAATGGCCAGTAAGGACAGACAATCCAACACAAAACTAGAATAACCCTATCTAAATCATATCCAGTAAGGACAGTATTTGAATTTTTTATATATATTACTATAATCACATATGCTACCACAATGCCGATAAGGACAGTATCTGGATTTTTTACAGTATATCTAATATCACTATCCAAACCATAATATATTTAACACAATCCCTATCTAAATCACTTATTCCATCACAATAGCCGGTCTAAATCACTTATTCCATCACAATAGCCGAGAAGGATAGTATCAGAATTTCTATAGTTCATCAATATTCTCACTATATATCCAATGTATAACTAACTCTATCTAAATTACCCATGCAGCTACGAAGAACAGTATCTAGATACATCACAATGCAGCTATACTATATCAACAGAAGACTAACACTATTTAGATCACATATATTACTATAATGGATATTCAACACAAGAGCATGATCCTATCAAAATCATATATGCCACTACAATAGCCAGTAAGGTCAGTATCCAAATCTTTTATGGTATATCACTATCTAATCACAATACATCCGATACAAGACTAACATAACCCTATCTAAATCACATATGCCACCACAATACCGATAAGGACAGTATCTGAATTTTTTACAATATATCTAATATCACTCCAAACCATAATATATTAACACAATCCCTATCTAAATTACTTATTCCATCACAATAGCTGGGAAGGATAGTATTAGAATTTTCTACAGTTCATCAATATCCACACTATATATCCAACATATGACTAACTCTATCTAAATTACCCATGCAGCTATGATGGTTGGTAAAAACAGTATCTGGATACATCACAATACAGCTATACTATATCAACAGAAGACTAACACTATTAAGATCACATATGTCACTATAATGGATATCTAACACAAGACTAGCATGTTTCTATCTAAATCATATATGCTACTACAATAGCCAGTAAGGTCAGTATCCGAATCTTTTATGGTACAGTATATCACTATCTAAATTACAATACATCCAACACAAAACTAATATAACTCTATCTAAATCATATATGCCACCACAATAGCCAATGAGGACAGTATCTAAATTCTTACAGTATATCATGATATATCTAACACAAGCTATATTTAAATCACTTATTCCATCACAATGGCCAGTAAGGACGGTATCAGAATTTTCTAAAGTACATCAATATTTAAATAACGATATATCCAACACAAGATAACATGACCCTATCTAAATCACATATGCTACCACAATGGTCGATATAGACATTATTCGAATATCACTATCCAATTCACATGAGCTCTATCTAAATCACCTATTTCACCACAATGGCCAGTAAGGACAGTATCAGATTTTTTTAAAGTATATCAATATTTAAATCACAATTTATCTAATACATGACTAACATAACCCTATCTAAATCTCATATGCCATTACAATGGCCGATAAGGGCAGTGTTCGAATTCTTATGTATATTATTATCCGATTCACGATATATCTAACACGAGCCCTATCTAAATCATTTATTCCACCACAATGGCCGGTAAGGGTGGTATCAGATTTTTTTATGGTATATCAATATTTAAATCATGATATATCTAATACAAGACTAACATAATCCTATCTAAAACACATGCCACCACAATGGCCATTATCCGAATATCACTATCCAATTCACAATATATCTAAAACGAGCTATATCTGAATCACCTATTCCACCACAATAGCCAGCAAGAGCAGTATCAGATTTTTTTTACAGTATATCAATTTTTAAATCACGATTTATCCAACATATGACTAACACAACCCTATCTAAATTATATATGCTATCACAATGGCCGATAAGAACAGTATCTGAATTCTTACAGTAACTATCTAATTCACGATATATCTAATACGAGCCATATCAAAATTACTTATTCCGCCACAATGGCTGGTAAGGATAGTATTAGAATTTTTTACAATATATTAATATTTAAATATATCCAATATAAGACTAACATAACCCTATCTAAATTACATATGCCACCACAATGGCTGATAAGGATAGTATCTGAATTCTTACAGTATATCACTATCCAATTCATGATATATTTAACACAATTAATAATATTTTTCAGTTGTTTTTTTTATTCTTGCAAAAAATAAAAGCAATACAATATTTGTTATAAATATGTATTTTATATTGTAAGCTTTATTTCGTCATTTCGTTAATTACATGCAAGAAACTATCAAATTAGGACTTGGCAAAACAAAAAAAAAATAGAATATATCAAATTTACCTATGTCGCTTCGCCAAAAACTTTCGTTGCTTATGATTCACAAGTTGAAACTATAATAGCCAAATGTGAAAAAAAAGCAATATTCGATCATCTAAAAGTGATATTAAAAATTAGGTTGGTATTTTAAATTTAATTGATACCAATTCAGAATTTATTTAATACCTATGTAGTCTAATAAGTATATTATAATAGTGTTAACAATAATAGCTGACTTCTTGCCAACATTGAATATTTCAAGAAGGATACAAAATCAGAATCTCTATTGATAGACAAGTTAGCGTCTTATTTATTTCACCAAATTTTATACAATCAATTAATTCAGAAAGAAAATATTGATCAATTTGAAATGAAGGGCATTACAAACCAAATAGTCAAAAATAAATAAATTATTCTAATGTCGAAATTCAAGTTTATTTGTATTATTCTATGCATTAGATATGTGTTGTAAATTGTATTAAATATTCTTTATATTATCACTATAATTGAAAATAAAGTTTTAGTAAAAAGAAAAAAAAAACGTAAAAATTTTAAAAATTTGAAGACATTTTCCAGACCATTATCCGAACCCAACCCAGTACACATTTTCCGGGTGCTTAAATTAGTAGATCAATATATATACTGGTATTATATTTATAGAAGAAACAGTTAATGAGTAATATTCGAAACTTAATCATTGGAGTATTATTTTTGGAAATACTGTAAGCAGTAACCAATGATAAAAAAATCGCCATTTATATATCTCTGATTCGTTACTTTCCATTTTCACAGATTCAAATATTTGTTGCAATGTTAATATTGAATGATTTCTCAGATAATTATTTCATTTCAAATCCTAAATCAAGACCTTTTTACATGATTGTTGTGAGAAAAATAATTATTGATTGCCTATGACAGTAATTATAATATTTTACTTAATCTGATTTAGAGTTTGCAATATCAAAATTATATTTTGTATGATTTTTTATTGTAAGGATTATGCGCCAATAAGAAAACAAGTCATGTGTTTGCTGTCCTACTATTTTTGAATATATTTTAAAAGCTGTTCTAAATTATTTGTTCTAAATTCTGAAAAAACCTACCTGCCAACTTTAAATGCACCACCTTTCTAAATGCATTTTCAATTTCTGCCTAAATACATACTTTATCTCTATTAGAGCAATTTTTTCTTATTGTTCTTTAAGTGCACGTGTTTGAAGTTTGCTCCTGGTAGAGTGTATTTAAAAAATTATTGCTGTATCAAGAACAGCTTTTTAAATAAGCTATTGAAACTTACAAATACTTACTATTTAATTTTTAAAATATTCACCTTTATTTAGTATAAGTATAATGATCATTTATCAATCTAAGTATAGTGAGACCTCTCTGAATGCATCTACTGAAACAAACCTTAACAATATGTACTTAGAGAACAATAAGAAAAAGTATACTTATGAAAGCCCAGAATTTGAGAGTGCATTTAGATAGATGAAAGTCTACTGGAAAAGCATAACTGGTTTATTGGGTGCTTACACAGCCATTATTCTTTCTATTAAGTTTTTGTTTATGCCAAATATAGCTATTACAATTAACAAATTCATTCTATTATATAGTGTTTCTTTCACTTATCTTCATGCTGATATAATAGTAAACCTAAAGATTATAGATTATATATTAGTAAGCATATTTAAATAAATTGATCATGTTTGAATTGATATTTATCATTAGTGTTAGATAGTGTATCTTTAATTATTTATATTAACCTATTTAGTGAGTAGTTAGTTGATAAAATCGGCTTAGCTGGCTTAGTTATCTGATTTTTCAAAAATCAAAATTGATTTTATAATAGATTACATGGATTATATTAAAAGTTTAGGCGCAGAATCTGAAAATTTTTGAAAAAAAAATCAACATAAAATACAAGCAAGGTTGAACCAAAAATTTGAGGAATCTCTGATAACTTCCAAAGTTTAATTAAATAGAATTTAGAATAACGACTCTAACTTAGCTGGCTAAGCCAATTTTTAAATATTAATTTAGTCAAGTTAATAAACAATAGTTAACTACAAGCACTATTAGTAAGTACTTAGATAATTTATTAGTTGGTATGTTTTGTAAATTACACATTCTAATTGGTTTATTGAATTAGTTAAAATATCTAAAAAAACAAAATAATAAAATAAAAAAAATAAAAATAACCAATAAAGAAATAATTAATTTAAAAAAATTATAATAAATAAAATATAAATATTTCTAAATAAAATTATATGATTAAGTATAGTTTTGGGCTAGAGATATATAAACTAAACATCTCTAGCTAAAATTTTCTATAAAATAGTAAATTAAAATAAAATTTATAATTAATAAATTAAAAGTTCTTATTAAATAAAAAATTTAAATAGTATATTTATATTTATTTAAAATAATAATTTAATTATTTAATAAATTTTTATAGTAATTAAATATGTATTTTATTATTATTATAAAGTTTTATAAAGTCTTTCCTATGCATTATTGCACAGGTTTACAACTAGTACTAATATATATATATAATATCATTTATAAGATTTTGTTAATACTCAAGTTTTACCAAGCGATTGACAAAAATTCGTTAGAACTCGCTCTTGTTCGTTGGTATAATAAAGATGGTGAATTATGCAGATGTTCTAAATTAAAATTAATTAAACAATATAGTTGTATACCTATAGATAGTATAGATAGAACAGATCTTATTTAGCATAGGTGGGAATATATAAATATTTAATATAAAAAACTCTAACCCTAATCTAAAGCTAACTAAAAACTATACTATAATCCTCACCCTAATTCTAACTATTTTCAAATCTGTTTAGATTAGTTCAAATAATTATTTTTATATTAAATAATCTTATATTATTTATATATTTCTACCTATACTAAATATTAACCGATAGAACTGTATATAGTTGCAAGATTTGAAAAAATAAATGAATATTTAGTGAACAGCTTTATGTTCTAATATTTGAAGCATATATCTAATACTTAAAGCATATATTTAAAGTGTATATCAATTAAAGTTACAGTACGTATATTAATTAAAGTTACAGTACGTATATCAATTAAAGTTACTATATATTAATTAAAGTTACATATATTTCTAATTAAAGTTACACATATTTCTAATTAAAGTGCTAATTATTGATTAATAACATAGTGATCGATATATTATGATTTTGGTTAGTTTGATGATAATCAATAATTTGATCTATATCAATTTCTTACCCATTATCGTTAATAAGCGATTTATAATATATATCACTAAATAACAAATTAATTGATGTTTAATGTTTAAATTTAATCGATATAAAACGATTAAGCATTATATATCATTATAAATCTACTTGAAAAAATTCGTGATGTATATGCCTAATATGTAAATTAGATAGTTAATTTTGTAAATTACAAAAATCTAATAAATTAGTGCAAGGTTATTAAAGTAAAAAAAAAAAAAAAAAAAAGCAGTATCTATAATAAAAAATTTCATAATATGCTCCTTCTGACCATCTTCTGCAGCAGTTTTTGTTTATTTGACCAAAGCTATTAGGCCAAATTCACTTATGCAAGATTCTTTCTCGTTAGACATAGTCTAATTTAGAAAGAATTAGATTATTATTAAAGACAACATTATCATCAACAGTCTTTTAAAAAGAGTAAAAGACTATCTAATTGTTGAAACTTCAAAATACCAAAAGAGCAGAAAAGAAAAACAATACACTATTATATATATATATATTTATTAATTTGGCAGTCTTGCTTCTACTTTATTAAGTTTAATAATATTATACTATAAAAATATTAAATTTTTCAAAGAGCTATTCTCTCTAATACCTAAGTTACAAGTATTGGCTCACCCGGTTGTTCTAAGAATACCTATGTACAACCTGCTATAGTAAGATTTACCTTAATACTAATTATCCTGCAAATGGATTCATTAGTATTTTCTTAAATAGTTCTTATAGCCTGCCAAGACTACTGATTAAACTTTCCACTATTCTGCCTATTGCTCACCTTTTATCCAGCTCAAAACCTTATTTTTAGCTAATTTTAGTACTACTTTCTACTATAATTCAATTTTACTTTTCTTCTTCTTTTTTTTATAAAGCTTATTAAATAGGTTCTTCTTTTCGTTTGTTCTCTTTTTTGGGTTTTTTTTTCTCTTGGTATTTGTACTAGATTCTCTTTTTTTTTTTCGCATTATACTATTCTCCTTTTCCTATTTTTGTACTAGTTTGCATCTTGCGACTTATATTTCTTCATAGATTTTTTTAATCTATCTTTTTTAAAGTCTTACTATGAAGTCTTTTGCTTATTTGTTGGAGTTGAAGCTTGGCTGAATTTCGTCAAAATCTTCTTTTGTAATTAGGCTTTTTATTCATCTTTCTTTTCTATAGAGCTCTTTGGCTATATTTTCTTTCTCTATCATAATCAAGATCTTTTTTTTCTTTGTATACAGGTCTTGTATTTCTTTTATTTCTTTTAAGGTCGACTAGGATCCCGAAAAACTTGATATAATTTAGATTTAAGTTTGTATGAAGTTTGTATAAATTTGGCCAAATAGATATATAAAATAGAGCAAATTTTAAAAAAATTTACTATATAAAAAAGTAATGTTTGATGATTTTTTATGCAAAATTTCTTTTTTTGATAACATATAAGTTGCATTAAAGTTCTTCGGGGTCTTGGTTGGCTCAACTTCTTGTTCTTCTATATCTCGCATTAAATTTAATAATATTTTGCAGCTTACTAAAGATGGCAAAAAACATGTTTTTTATTTTTTCATATTTTAAAATATTTTTAAAACATGTTTTAAAACATTTTTTATGTTTTTTATTAAATAATATATAAAAATATTTCATATTAAGTTGCAATTAATCTAAGTTGCTATTTTTAATATTAAACTTTAAAATTAAAACTTCATATATATACATAATTCTAGCCAGTGCTATTAGATATTTAAGGGTAGGGTGGACGTAGATCATTTTTCATGTGATTTACGTGGTACATTATTTTTGTGTAACACACCGTAACACACATGAAAATCGAACATCTAATGCTTAGTCTAGAATATTCTATGAATGTATTACGATCATCAAATGACAAAAAAAATTTTTTTTACTTTGAGATAAAACGATCTTTATTTGAAAACGTATAAAAATAATAAAGGTAAAAAGCTAACTAAAATATTGTTTACATCGAAGAAATTACTATTATTTTATCCAGTTTTCTTTTCCGCAAGTGAAATCGCGTTATCCGTCACACCTTTTATATTATACTGGACGTCAGATAACGTGAATTGGTCTTTCGCTCAAGAAAAATATTCTGTTTGACCAACTCATGACAAACCAGATCCGCTAAAGCTAATTCTGCTACTGCTTTTATCTTTAAATACTCTGGTTTTTGATGGTTACCAAAATCTGTTTTTAACTTTCGACCCCGAAGTTTTGCATTATCTAGGCCACAAAAAACTTCTATCATGTCTAAGGGTATTATTGGTTTGTTATTATTTTCATATAATAACTTTACTACTCTTAACAATTCTAAAATATCTAACTTCACATTTCTCAGTTGAGCCTCATCGTCTCCGCGCCTGATACAGTTATCACAAGAATTACAAATTTCTGGAATCGGATCCCCTAGCCATTGATGGTATCGCGATATTAGCTGAAGTCGGCATTCATAAGGGGTAATACAATAGTATACTACTTCAAATAGCTTGTGCTGTGCTTCTGCCAGGTAGAGTTCTCGAGTCATAGTCTTTTCATTAACTTCTTCACTAGAATTTGAATGTATTTTAGAATTATTTAACAGAATTCTTCAATGAAATTCTTACACTGAATTAACAATAATACCTCTCCCTATTATTTGCAATAACAATATAATTTGTTCGAATATCCTTCTTAGAATAGAAGGTAACACATTTACCACCTTGTTGGTTCCGTCCAGCCCGACCAAAGGTTTGTATAAGGCTAGCTGTTTACAAAGTATTAAGTACTATTTCTAATAAAAATTGCACAGCTAATATATATATTTACTCATATTCATTAGGAAATTATAATGCAAGACTAGACGGACATCAGGCATATCTATGCCTAAACCAAAGGCTGAGGTTGCAATCATCAATCGTGTCTGGCCTTTATTCCACTTTATTATCACTTCTCTTTTGTCATTTTCTGACAATTGTCTATTGTACATATCTAATGGCATATCTAATAATATTTCTTTCATTTTTTGATTTAGTATTTGAGAAACTTCAAGACAATCCTTAATCCACGCGCAATATATTATAGCGCGACCGGCTTTTATACTTTTTACTAAACCTATAACTTCGTCTGCCCAAGCTGATTTGGTATCATTTCGTTTTTGTACTGAAAAACATAATTTCTTGCGTAATAGGTCAGTGTCTTTTACAGTTTCGAATCGATTAATGTTCAAATTATCTTAAAGTGCCTTAATATCATCCGGGGATAAAGTTGCAGTTAAGGCCATAATTCGAGCATGAGGAAAGTTTTGTTTTATTATACCTAATTCTCCCCATTCTTTTCTAAAAAAAAAAAAAAAATTTATATTAATATCTTTTATGAATCTCCTTATTTTTTGTTTTTCTCTTACCTAAAATGACGAAATTCAAATATACAATGAGCTTCGTCGATTACAAATTGTAGCTTCTCTTTATCATATAAACGACCGCATAGTTT